GTAAATACTGCCTATATGTATATATCGGATATTATCATCTATATTATGCTTAAATATAATATATTATTATTTATTAGAAATTGTTAACTAAATGCAAAATACGATACAAATTCTCTAAAAAATATTTGATACTTACTTACTTAGATTGTAAGCATATAAATAGCTCACGAGTTCGGTTATATAATCAAGGAAAAGTGTGATACAATATAGAAYTGTATAGTGATATATTTCGATCTAAACGGGTCCCCAAAAAACTGATCTAGAAATATTGTAATTTTCTTTAATCGGTYATGCAAGAYGAGTGTTAATAAGGTCTAATCCAAGGGGACTTGTATTCCTGCCCAATAACAAAACTTTGACTAGTTTTGAGTATGCTATAATGTGGTTTTGAGTGAATAAAAATTGAGTATAATATATATATCATACCTGCACTCGGGACTCTGTGAGACCAATCCGCATGGCGATCTCCTCTCGCATAAAAATGTCTGGATAGTGGGTCTTGCTGAAGCACCGCTCCAGCTCGTTGAGTTGCGCTGGTGTGAACCGGGTCCGATGTCTTTTCTGCTTGTTCGGCTTTCCGGCATCGTCGCCGTTGAGTCCAACGCCACCACCACCGGCGGCGGCCACAGCGGCGGCAGCGGCCAGCCCATGGCCGGCCACAGTTGACAAGTCGAAACCACTGCACGACAATCGGAACGGTCCGCCGCCGCCACCTCCGGCACCGGTGGACAGCTGATTTGGCGGTGACGGGCCGTTGCCCTGCTGTAGGTGACTGTTACCCGTGCCGCCGAGTCCGTGACTACCCCCGACGTCATGTACACCACCCCCACCGCCACCGGTCTGCAACTGATGTAGCGATCGGTGTTTGAGACCATCGAAGTCCTTATGGCCTGTGGTGCGCGAATGACATCGACAACAAGAAAAAAAAGAAAACAAGTTGTTATTATAATATATTACATGATGCGCGAGTAAACTAAGATATTATAATTTATMAATATTATACAAATATGATTTTTATCTAAAATAATTATATATTTAGTGTTATAAAAATTATTTCCGTGGATATACAAGGTTTTATTGACGAAGTTTCGATGTACAATATTGTCGAACCTCTGTGTTGACCAGCAACTGTATATTTAGGTTCAAGACACTTGTGAGTTATAATATTATTATATAGAGACTGTAAAAGTGTAAAACGGTCGAGGAAAGTATCGAAATTACAAATCGGACGCGGTTTGTCAGTATAAATACCTATTCTGTATGCGTGCTTGAGTAGGACGTCGATAATATTTGTGGTTGGACTGAAGACTGAACGGGTGTTAAAACTTAAAAGGAATGTCGACGACGCTGGTGCAGGGCAACGCGGTGATATTATACGAGCTCGCGTATATAGCGGTAACGGTGTGGTCGTCACGGGACTAATTTAGCGTTGAAAATTAAATTTAATCGACCGTCCAATCAAAACCCGAGATTTCTAATCAACCGACTGCGGCGATGTGCAGAACACGTGCATATAATTGACGGGGCGAGGTGCGAACACAGTGAACGCACACACGAGAATAATTTATTTATGTACCTATATATATATATTATATATATGTGTGTATGTGTGTGTATATACCTATAGATGTATAATTCTATGTATGCGTATATAATGTGTAAAATACAGTACACACAYACGCATAGGTCATTGGTATATATGTTACCGTAAATGCCCGATCACTAGGTAAACCTAGGTTTTAYTAGTTAATGMTAGGTTTTACTGTTTGTACTCAGTAAATGCTGAAATTCTAAATTTTATTCGGGCTTTTACTAAACACGTTGTGTACATCCTAGGTCCTGGAATATACAAATTGACTTAATAAATAAGCTGATTACGACACATAACATTTAAGCTGCGTAAAAATTATAATTATATATTATTAAAACAAACTACTGACAGTTATTTAAATTCTTTATACAAAATAAAAATGCATCTTAAGTTGTAATCACACCTCAAACATTTTTACTTGCAACGATTAATAACAATTATTTTGCGAAGATAAATTTACGACTGCAATGTGTTGMAGGGACTTGCATTTTATCGGGTTTAAGATTAATATTATACAACTTATATCATGATATAACTTAGTAATAGCTGACTGATATCAATTGATTGGTGGCTCTATTAGGTACATGTTCAGTCTGTTTGGGTTTTACGTGATAGACGGATCCATTTGTAGAACAGTGTAATATGTGTTGTGCGAGTAGTGTTTAATTAATTTAAATTAATTTAATTAATTGCTCAACATTCACTATCAGGCGGGCAAGGATTTTTGAGGTGTGATTGCCAGAAAAAATGTACAACTAAGAAATGCAAATGCCGCCAGTCAAATGTATTATGTAATAGCAGGTGCCATAATAGTACAACACATGTGCAAATAAATAAACCAATTTTACTAATTTTTATGAAGAAAAAAAWTKTTTTTWTTAATTTTTAATGATTCTGTTTTTAAATGATTTTTATTTTGTATAAAGAATTTAAATAACTGTCAGTAGTTTGTTTTAATAATATATAATTATAATTTTTACGCAGCTTAAATGTTATGTGTCGTAATCAGCTTTTACTAAGTCAATTTGTATATCCTAGGATGTACACAACGTG